ATCTCCAGGGATGAGAGATCTCAAATAATAATAGTCAAGTCCTCTGTTTAATGATTTACTCATGTTTTTGAAAGAAAACCTTCATGGCATCAGCACAGTAAAAAACAAGACCTGGCTTGGAGAATAGATCTTTGATTATTACATTGAAAATTAAAAATTTTAATTGAGCACTAAGTATTGGTATTATACCTTCCTTTAGTTCTAACAAAAAAATATAATATTGGGCAAAATCCAAACAACTCAACATCGTAAACAATTCCAGAAACGGAATACCTACATTTTATTAAAATATATTTTAAATGTGCATGTTTTATTTACTTTAAATTTAAAAGAAAAGGCTCTTGACAACGGCAATTTAAAATTTTATCTTTAAATTTTGAAAATACAAAATAAATTTGATTATAAAATGCTAAAATAATTTAGAAGATTTGAAGTTTATGAAAATGGGGGAAGGGCTGAGATAGAGATACTTACCACACAAATGCAAAGCCTGGGTTCAATCCTTGGTGTTACAGGAAAAAAAAAATTAAAAATAATAACTAAAAAGAAAAATGAGGGATAAACTTAATACATTTTGCTTGAATTTATTCTAGGCATTGTCTTAAGCACTTTATATGTATTAACTCATTCAATGTTCACAAAAAACATATTAGTTAGGTTTGTTATTACCTCCATTAGTCAAATTAGGAAATAGAGTCTCAGAATTTTTAAGTACTTGCCCAAAGTCACAAATAATTGGGTGTTAGAAATTCATTCCAAGTTTCTAGGCTTTAAAAATGTTCCCAGGTAGTATAACAGACGTTCTATAAAATTATCGTGATCATTTCTCCGTGTATTCATTGCATTTCCAAAGCTTCTTGAATACATTTATTAGTAATTTTATAGTTCTTGCAGTTACTGCTCTGAAAATGGAACATGTTAGTACAAGGAAATGTTAAATTTATTGTTTCCCTATGAAATTTCAATAAGTTTAGTCTTTGAAACTGGCAATATACAGATATCAGAAATAAGAAAAATAAAAATTAGTAAAATTTCCCAATAAATATAGATGTACGAGATGAAAGGAAAACAAAATGGCTGAACCTCACAAAGAACCTAACACAGAGATAGGGGCTTGGGCTTCAGGGGAGAAGGGAGGTAGAAAGTAAGATGAAGAAGGTGCATGGCTAGCAAGGACTGTACTGTTGGATAGGCAAATTCTCTCAGTTAATAGCTTCCTGTGAAATTCTCCATCTGAACCAGGTGTTAGAACACAATTTCTTTTTTTCAGAGTAAAAATTCTTTCTAGGCAGAAAGAGTAGGATATCATATAGAAAAGCTATTTCTGAACCTCTGTATACTAATGAAGATTTCATATGTACATATATATGAAATCTTCAGAGCTTCCATTCTAAAGGATGTACATATGTGTGTATATATACATGTGAATATTCACACATGCCATTTATATATATGTGTGTGTATGTACATATATATATATATATATATATATATATAGAGAGAGAGAGAGAGAGAGAGAGAGAGAGAGAGAGAGAGAGAGGGAGATTTTCAGAGTTATTTCTCTGTTCACAGTGATCTACAGTTTTTCTGAATAACCAGTTCACAATATGCCAAAAGTATTTGTTTGCAGTGGAATATTTTACTTTCACACCAACTTCAGCAGAGGTTCTGAGGCAGTGATACAGGGTTAAGAGTAGGTGATAATAAACACAAAGGCACTACATGCCTCTATACTTAAGATCCATTGCAGGGGCTCCTGTTACTGTATAGGGTAAATATTTAAGAGAAAGAACACTATGTGTCTTATGCTTAAGATAAATGCTTAAATGTCTTCCCTAACTACATCCATTGTTCAAGACAAAGGATGAATTGAACATCAAAATGGATTTAAGCAGGTCTGATCATTACACTCTTGACCAAATGTTACAAAGATGCTCATTTAAATGCATTTGTCTGTTAAAGGATATGCCTGGGGAAGACATTTAACACAATTTTACACACATTTTTATCTTTGTACAAGCATTTTTTGACTCCCTAAAAACTGGGAAAGGCTCAATGAAAGATTACTCCATAGTCTATCAAAGTGTTATCTTCTACTTCCAAACCTATATATGCTTTTGACCCTTGACTTCTTGGCTACTCAGGCTGTACAGTAGCCACCTTGCTATAGTAGTCAATGAAATAAATGATTCTTTCTAACCCTATCTTTGTTAGCTGTGTTTGATTTCTATCCTGAAGGAATTAAACCTCCTCCTGAGCTGCATGGTTGAACACCAAAACCTGTCTTCCTATATCCTAAAGTCATTTGTGGTCAAGGGTACTATCCTAGTACCTCTTGACATATCCTTCATCCTTAGCTTGTTCTGGATAACCTGTAATCTAATAAATACTGTGTGTGTGTGTGTGTGTGTGTGTGTGTGTGTCTGTGTGTATCTGTGTGTGAGTGTGTATACATGCCTGAGATAAGATCACAAAAAGCTACAATCTGGAAAAACTCTTAAAGAAATTTTTGTTGAAATTTCCCAAACTTAGACATTGATTTCACAGGTGTTTTTAAGTTAAAAACCCATTTGTCAGTGTAAGAATTAAAAATCAAAGGTGGGACTAAGGAGAATCTTAAAATGATTAATTTAAGTTAGTTTTTTTATTATTATTATCAGTGGAAACTCCTATGCAAGAAGAGCTTCCATTCTAAAGAATGATAGGGCTAATGTACAAATAAAAAAAAAATATACAAACTGTAAATCTATCACAAGGACAGTGGAAAAAATAAAACAAAATAAAGGGACTAAAGAGATCAAATTGGGGCTGAGCAGAATGGCATATCCCTGTAATTCCAGAGGCTGAGGCAGAAGGAGCACAAGTTTAAAGCTAGTCTCAGCAACCTAGTGAGGTCCTAAGTAACGTAAGACACTGTCTCAAAATTTAGAAAAAAAAAAAGAGCTGGGAATGTGGATCAGTGGTTAAGTACCTCTGAGATTAATCTCTGGTACTAAAAATAAGTAAGTAAATAAACAAATAGTGTTGGTTGCTGGGAAGGAAAGTTGGCTATTTTATCCTGGGTAATAGGGAATGACTTACTATAAATTTGATATACTTATGCTGGGTATATAACTCTGTGGTAAGCACTTGCCTCACATACAGAAGGCACTGGCTTTGATCCTCAAAAACACAAAAAATAACAACAACAATAACAATAAAAGTAATGAAAAGAAAACATCAATGTACCACAAATTATAAAATACTTGCTACATGAATAGAAGGGAGGAGAGCTACCAACCAAAGAAGAATCAAGGAGGATCAATATGACTAGAGTAAAGAGAGTCAATAAACATGGATGGACCCAGGAAGTAAGCAGAAAGCCAAGTCATGCAGAATGTTATTAATAACTTTGAAATTTACCATCAATGAGACAGGAGGGATAAGGAAAAACAGGCTTTGAACAACACTGTCAAAAGATCAGTCTGTCTGCTGAACAGAAAGTAGGCAATACAAGAACAGTGTCAAAACAGGAAAGACTAGTTTGGAGTCTTTCAATTAAATCTGACTTACATTAGGAAGAAATGGCACAGGTATTAAAAAGTGGTTAGTTTCTGAGTGAACATAAATTTCTAACATTTCTATTGAGTCTGCCCTGGTCTATTTGAGCTGTTATAACAAAACTCAAAATAATGAGTTATTTATAAATCTTAGAAAGAATATAAATTAATTTCTCATGGATCTGGAATCTGGGAAGTAAATACACAAATAGTGTTGGTTGCTGCGAAAGGAAGTTAGCTATTTTATACAGGGTAATGGGGAATGACTTACTATAAATTTGATATATTTGTGCTGGGTATATAACTCCATGGTTATATACAAAGTACCAGGTGAAATGACCAGCATATGTGGTATCTTGTGAGAGACCTTTTCTTAGTTCATAGATGAAGGCTTTAAGCTATTTCCTCATATAGTAGAATGGATAAGAGGTTTAACCCTGGCTGCCTTTGTGAGGGCACTAATTTCATTTTTAAGAACTCTACCACCACTATTTAATCACTTACTAAAGGTCCCATCTCCAAATATCATATTTGGGACTAAATTTTAACACATTAATTTTAGGGTATACAAACATTCAACCAATAACAGTTCTACATATTTAAATAGGTGAAGAAGATAAAGGAAATCAGAGAGAGGTGTCAGAGACAAACCACAAGTTCTTGGCCTGAACAATAAAAAAAAAAAAACTTGCTTAATTGAGTGTATGAGGAATTAATTTTAGGGAGGAATTAAAAGTTCAAACTTGTACATATTTATGGTTGAGATACCTATTGTAGTACAGATATCTAATGAGAGGAGAGCAAACCTTCATTGAGGGCAAAGATCCCAATTAGAGGGATAAATTCAGAATCATCCATGTTATAGTTGATAATTAAAATCATGAGATTAGATGAGATTGATTTGGGAAGACAAAAAGAAAAACTCACCAAAAGATTATGCAATGTTAAAAAATATAAAACTGTTTTGAAATCTTACAGGAAAGTAGATCAAAGAAATGTGATGCAATCAGACATGCTCAAGGAAAACTTCTATTTTTTAAGGAAGATATCCTAGCATGTGTTTATGTTTACAAAATGACCAGCCAATATGTAAATAAATTAATAGTGCAAAAGAGCTGAGGCCAATTGTTTGAGTATTGTCTTGGGAAGGAAAAGGAAACATGGGATTCAGTCCATAGAGTATAGGTTTGGACTAGAAAGATATGCTATCCCTGAACCAATTAGATGATATTCAATACCAAAAGGTCCACTACCTGTTTTTATCAAATATTTGGTAACTTATTCTTTACTCTCCAAAAGTTATATATCTATAAAATATTAAATCTTTATATTTAATTAAAAATATCAATATAATGTCCTAATTAAATTAAGAACTAAAATAAAATAATTTATAACAAAACAATTTTCTTTTTTTTTCTCCATACAACCACTGACTTTATTTTTATTTTTTTCTTCCTTTTTTAATTTATTTCTTACATACATAACAATAGTGGAGTGCATTACATTCATAATTTTCCATTCACAGCACAATTTTTGTAACTCTGTGTGTAAAGTATGTTTACAGAATAGCATGACTTCATTTTTTTCTAGATTTTTTTTTGGGGGGGGTACTGGAGATTGAACCCAAGGGTGTTTAACCACAGAGCCACATCCCTAGCCTTTCTTTAAAAACTTCAAAAATTTGTTCTAATTAGTTATACATGACAGTACAGTGCATTTTGACACATCGTATATGAATTGAGTATAACTTCTCCATCTTCTTGTTGTACATGATAATAGAATCATATTGGTCATGTAATCATATATATACATAGGCTAATAATATCCAATTTATTCTACAGACTTTTCTACATGAAATGATATTTTATCTTAATTTTTCAAGCATTATTACACCAGAAAATTTGATGAGGTACTTAAATGATTAAACTGACATGGAGAATCCACATTAATATAATATTCATAGATATGTACTGGCTCATGTTTTACAGTAGTCCCTACTTTATCCTCTGAGAGATATTTTCCAAAATATTAAGCTGCACGTAGTACCAAACTCTATAATCCTATATATGTCCTCTATATACATAGATAAATTTAATCCTTTTTCTATCTTAAATAAATACTTATGTCACATCGTGGCCACAATTTTTATGGCTGGAGACAACAGAACTAGCAAGCGCTTCTCTTTCATCTTTACAATTTCATTGTTTGAGGATTCATACTCATCTTAAATCTTAACAACCGAATTATGTGACTTCTTCTTTCCCCTTATTCAGTTGAGAACTTTCCCCTTTTCATTTATCAGAAGCACTAAAGTTTCTTTTTTACATATTCAAATTGCCTGGATCAAAATACTTGTATTTGGGGGCCATTATTAATTAAAGTTAGGGTTACTTGAACACAAGCACTGTGATAACATGACCAAAAGTCGGACAACCAAAACGGCTACTCAGTGCCAATTGGGTGAGGTGTGAGTATATACAGCATGCTGGACAAAAGAATGGTTCATATATTAGGCATGAAGGAATGAGAAGGCACAGATTGGGATTTCACTGTTCTTTCACAAAAGTGTGCAATTTATAACACGTATTATTTAATTCTGAAATTTATCATTTAATAATTTGGGGTTGTAGTTTCCCTCAAAAATCTAAATACACAGTAAACAAAACTGCCAATAAAGTTTAAATCCTGTATTGTATTTAAACTTAAATATCTCAAACATAATGAAATAATTGTTGGAGGTAAATTTTTTTTAAAAAAAATGTTCAATAGCTATTCATAGATTTCTCAACAAATAAGATAAAATCTTCCCTTAAGGATATGTTTAGAGAAATTCACTGTAAATTTGCTGTGCGATAAGTAAAAATTTCTTTACATTTATCTTCTAAGCAAAATTATGTTCCAGACACAGGTAATTATGAACAGATATTTTATAAACATGAATAAATGAAAAGACATTCAAAAGGTATTCGTGGAAAGCCATATAGGAAAATATTTATTTTCAGTTTTGTGGATCAAACCTAGGTTCCTGTTCATGCTAGGCAACTACCACTGAGCTATACACCTGGCCCAGAAAACATTTTTAAGCAGGCATACTATTGCATTTGTTGCAGTTTTACAGCAGCATTGATTCTACTGTCCAAAAGTCAGTGTCACTACTTTCACAACAAATTAAAACATATTAAAATAAACTCAGGAGGAAATCTAATCATTGTTGACAATCACTGATCTATGGTAACACAACAAATGGTAGAAGAAATATAGATCAAGGTGGATTGGCCAAGGTGGAGGTAGGAGTTGATAGGAGTTATTTCTGTTTTCCAAGTGTTGGAATGGAAGATAAAACTGGAGTTTGAAAAGCAGAGAAAATCTACAAGTAAAGAAAGATAATGAGTTAGAAAACATGCTCAGGTTATTGAGAATATTTATAGGTTCAATGTTGATAATCCAAACACTATGATCAGGCATCATGCCTCTTTAACTTTTCCCTTCCCAAACTAGCTTTAAGAGTTGGGCTTAACAAGTCTTGGAGCCTGAAGAGGGGTGTGTTGTAAATGATAAGATAGCAACATGGTGGAATATAATGTACTTTAACCTGTGGTATATCCTTAAAACTGGAATTTTTGGCATGCAGGAGGAACAATAACCCTAATGGAGCAATAAATACCAAACCTTATAGAATAAATGTTTGATATAACTGCCTCTCTTCTATGAGACAACCATAGGGATGGCAGCACCCTCCATGGAGAATCTACTTTTAGATGAAGGAAAAATGTGAAGAAAAAATTTAGAACATAAAAATATAGGATTTTTTTTCTGAGATTGGACTATAAATATCAGAGGGAATAATAGAAAAATTTTGAAATTTGAAGTATATATCCTCTCATCATCAACCAGAAACAGATATACACTGATATTGGACAGTGGATTTGAGAAGAAAATTTAATGAAATAACTATTCATAAAAGTTTGGGGAGTGTGGAGGGAATCATACATGAGAGGAATAATGGTACCATTTCTGTAGAAGTAAGAGGAGTTACAAGAATGATAAAGAATTACAGTATGAGTTCTTTATACACCCTAGTGATTAGTGCTCTATCTGATGTGTAAGGGGTAAAGATTTGCTCCCAAGATGTATGTTCTCTATTCACCCTACAGATTTTTTCTTTTGCTGAGAAGAAACTTTTTAGTTTAAGTCCATCCCATTATTGATTCTTGATTTTAATTCTTGTGCCACAGAGTCCTATTAAGGAAGTTGGGACTTAATCCCACATGATGGAGATTAGGGCCTAGTTTTTCTTCTATTAGACACAGGATCTCTGGTTGTATTCTTAAATTCTTGATCCATTTTGAGTTGAGTTTTGTGCATGGTGAGAGATAGGGGTTTAATTTTATTTTGTTGCATATGGATTTCCAGTTATCCCAGCACCATTTGTTGAAGAGGCTATCTTTTTTCCAATGCATGTTCTTGGCACCTTTGTCTAATACAAGATAACTATAGATTTGTGGGTTCATCTCTATTAGACACCAAAAAAAACCAAATAACCGAATCAATAAATGGGCCAAGAACCTGAAAAGACACTTCTCAGAAGATGATGTACAATCAATCAACAAACACATGAAAAAGTGTTCATCATCGATTGCCGAAGTCTGGCTGGGCACAAAATAACCGGGAAGTCAGGAGCCACTTGTAGGTTCAAATAGGAACTACTCTATTGCCAGAACCCAACGGGAACTCTCCAGATCTCCCTAGAAACTCTGCAAGAACCAACAGGAACTCAATGAGAACTCAAAAGTAGCGGGCACCTGAGGTAGCAGGAGCCACCCTATTGCCATACAGCAGAGGTCTACACACACAACTGAACACACAGCTCGCCCCAATCCAGCATCATTCAGTCATAATTATACACAGCTTAACTTAATTATCATCATCTTAATGGCTCGCTGGCATTACTTCTCAACCACTCCTTCTGGCAAAATGCCAGGCGCCATCCTGACTTGGTTGTGGCTCTCAACAATTGCTAGCCATTAGAGAAATGCAAATCAAAACCACTCTAAGATTTCATCTCACTCTAGTCATAATGGCAGCTCTTATGCATACAAACAACAATAAGTGTTGGTGAGGATGTGGGGAAAAAGGTACACTCATACACTGCTGGTGGGACTGCAAATTTGTGCAGCCAATATGGAAAGCAGTATGGAGATTTCTTGGAACATTGGGAATGGAACCACCATTTGACCCAGCTATCCCTCTCCTCGGTCTGTACCCAAAGGACTTAAAAAAAGCATACTACAGGGACACAGCCACAACAATGTTTATAGAAGCACAATTCACAATAGCTAAATTGTGGAAACAATCTAGATGCCCTTCAATAGATAAATGAATTAAAAAATGTGGTATATCTACACAATGGAATATTACTCAGCAATAAAAGATAATGGAATCATGACATTTGCAGGTAAATGGATGGAGTTAAAGAAGATTATTGTTATTAGCCAATACCAAAAAAACAAATGCAAATGTTTTCTTTGATTTAAGGAGTCTGATATATAGTGGAATAGGGAGAGGGAGGCATGGGAAGAATAGGGGATCTCTAGATAGGAGAGCAGGGTGGGAGGGGAAGGGAGGGGGAATGGGGTAATTAATGACATATGAATGTGATGATCATTATTATCCAACATACATGTAGGAAGACATGGATTAGTTTGAATATATTATGTATACAACCAGAGATATGAAAAATTGTGCTCCATATACGTAACAAGAATTATAATGCATTCTGCTGTTATATATAAATAATAATAATAATAATAGTAATAATAAAGAATTACAATATGAAGCCAACTGACAGAAGTTAAGATATTTGATCCAGAAAATGCTAACCCACAGGGACACCACAAGAAGAGAACTGGAGAAGTAAGTATACAAACTATATTTTTCTTCCTCTCAGATCTTTGTAAGTACTGTCAATTGGCTGAATCTAATCAGAAGATGGTACAAAGAAAACATTGATATTGTCCATGTTGGTCATCCTTCTGGGACACAGCACAGGGTGGGGAAGTCTAAAGAGTGAATCAGAAGTTTTGGGAGATAGACCATAGAATCAATGTACATCTAGAATAGAGAGCTTTCTATTATTGAATAAATAAATAAATAGCCATATAATAAACTTAAAAGAGAAAAGATTTATTTTGGTTCACAGCATTGGAGGTTTCAGTTCACCATCAGTTAGCCATATATCTTTTTGGTTTGTAATGAGACAGTACATTGTGATAGGATTTCATGGCAAAATAAGCCTATTTACCTTATGGAAGGGATATAAAAGAGAGAAAGGAAAAAGATGGGGCTAAGTTCACAAAATGCCCTTGAAAGATATGCCCACAATGATTTGAAGACTTCCTCCTCTTAAACGTACCAATGCATCCCAATAGTATCTTGGGCTGCTGACCAATCCTTTAACACACAGTTCTCTGTGAGAAGTTATGGGACCAAATATTGATAACCTCTAAAAGGAAGAGATTATAAAGGATGATGCAGGAATCCTGGCATTTTGTATTGTATAACCCGAATAAATTAGAAAAGGGTATTTGAGGAGAAAATCTCTACTGGGTCTTCTTTTGGATTTTCAATGGGGTAACAATGTTAGAGTAGAGAAAGTCTTGAAAATGCAAATGCAAATTTTTCATGAAGCATATGGAGCTCTGAGGCCTTCTCCAATTTTGTATGCTTTGTGTATACTTTACATATATTTAGTTCCATAATTATTTGACAAATTTCATAGCAAAGATTATCTTTAATATTTTAAAAACCTTAAGAACAAAAATCCACATTTAGTACTTATGAGCTGTGTTACATACCAGGCACACTTTATGAATTTTTTATTTTATACTTCACAAAAAGTCCTATATAATATTCAGTGTTACCACTCCTGTTTTCTAGGTAAAGAAGTAGATGCAAAAAGAGATTACACAAGCAGGTAATATAAAGGCAGAATGTAAAATCACCTTGTATCCACTATGATTAACCAAACTAATATGCAAGAAAATATAATGCAATCATATTAATACATAAATATGAGAATAATATTAATAGAGAAAAATCTGAATTATAAAATAATTAAAATCTAGTTTCAAAATTTACACTCTATTAAATATATTTATCTAAAACATGGTAATTTACAGAGTAAATTCATTAAAAAAACTAAATCTATATGAAAATTAATAGAGTAACGCGGTTATGTGTCTATGATACAGAATAGGATTTCTTGGAATCTTTGCCACTGAGACCTTGGACAAGCCTTTCTATGTTTCATACTTTGCTTCTGTGACATAGAATTACTAATAGTGTCAAACCATAGAATTGCTATGAGGGATAAATGAGAAATGTTTTACTCTAAATATACTGTGTGTACCGTAGTAATTGTTCAACATATGTTATAATTGTTATGCAAAACCATAATAAATTTGGATGGAAAAGTATTGGAGAAAATAACATTCAGGAGCTCATACTTTCAAATATTGAGGGTAACACTTAAAAAAATAATATCACAAGTATTCTCTCACCTTAATAAGTACATGCTACAACCATCGGTTGTAGAAGATAGATTTGCATTTAGAGTCAAACACAATTGTATTGAATACCAAACATACTATTATCTGAATTAGTGGGGTCTCTGTTAATGATACTCTCAAGCATATGATCATTTTAAGTTATCAAAATAACTGGATTAGATCATGATCTTTTGGGGGAGGGAGGGTCGCAGTTTTACAAAGCTATTGTCATAAAATATCATTCCAGTCACTTAAAGACAAAAAGATAACTACTTCATATAAAACATGATTTAGACCTACTATATTTTTTTTCCACGCCAGAGCCTTAGGCAGAAAAATAATCATGTTCTGTACCAGTAAAATTGCCAAGAAACTATTACAACTGAAGTTAACATTGAATAGCAGAATGTCAATTTTATTAAAACTACTTAATAGGAAATCATGTGTGAAATTTTCAGTTGATAGATATCATAAACTCTTTATTATTTGCTTCCAACTTATTCCTGACATTACCCTTTAACACAATCATGTTACTCAGCATCAAGGATCTGTGATTGGGCCATTTTCTCTGACATCTATATCACAGGTTTGATGCCCAGTGGGCCTTGTTTCTCTAAATTCATTTCTCCAGTGGTAAATATTGTCAAAGCTTGAGCATCATTGTTCCCTGATGTTTCAAGAGCCTGATAGCTTTTTATTTTAATTGTTATTTGAGTCTACTTACAAGTGTACAGAATGAGTAATCAAAGGAACTCAATGAACTAGGATAATGTCTTTTGTTTCAGGAGCTTTTCTTATTAACATTTTGCTTTTTGTATTA